TCATTAGGATCATTCCTAATCACAATGCTATTTCCATAAATCTCCACATGATCAAATATCCCCAAAATCGTTCTCATATCACAAACTAATCACTTAAATTCCCGTTAAATGTTGGCCCTCGGGGTGTGAACAGTACCCGTGAACAGTAACCCCGACATGAACAGTAACTCTACTTCCAAAATTGGCCAAAACACTAGCTAATCACGGGGTTTTCTCTCCAAAAATCACAGCAATCAACTCAAGCAATTTACACATGAATTAAGCAACAAAACACACTTAAAACCCCTCTTAATTGCTACCGGAATTTCCCCATTTCCTAGCCAAATTCGGACATCACAAGCAGCAACTTTAAATGGATAATTTAAGCCTTAAAAGGCTGTCACATACCAGAATTTACAAGCAAGGAACCGGAGCTAGCAGATTGGGGAAGGCCGGCGGCAAGTGCAGGGGAGAAACTCACGGGAACTACCCAAAATTGAAGGAACAAGAGCAATTAAGGTAAACCCAAGGCAATTCAAAGCTAGAGAAGGGAGATTCATGGCTATTTCTTACCAAAAACCGAAGCAATTCGCCCCCACAAACAAGAGCAGCCGGCGGACAGCAGAGGGAAGAGCAGAGCAGATCCGGAAGCTTCCTGCAGGGGGGGAAATTTCTGGGTTCTAGAAGTGTTCTAGAGCAAGAAAGGAAGGGGAAAATACCAAGCTTCCTTACCAATTTTCCAAGGCATGGCTGGGTTCCTCTTTTTTTTTTTTCTCTCGGGCTGCAGCGGGAAGAAGAAGAGCAGAATCGGGAAATGGCTGGGGAAGAAAAGAAGAAAGAAAAAGAAAAAGAAAAGAAGTCATCCTTATCCAAAATCTTTTTCTCTTTAAGTCCCTCAACTTTCAAAATGTTGGCCATCAAGCCTCAAAACAATCTTTTCTCACAATCAAATCCCTAACTTAAATGATAAAATTCCCGAAAATTTGGGATATCACAACATACTTACACCAAATAACTCTAGTCCACCTCTTATCAAGAATACAATCTAGAGGTGTTAGAAAAGCATAAGCAGCTTTCACAAAATATACACCATCACCCTTATGAACCCGTCTCCAAAAATCAATTTTATCATTCCTCACCTTTACTCCATTAATCAAGTCCCTAAACTGTTCCTCCTCACTACTCGCCCTCTCCACACAATGATGTCTCCATTGACAATCCCATGCCCAATCATCCCCACTCCAAAAACCCATATTCTTGACTAACCCCTCCCTACCAATTGCTAGCTCAAACAACGTGAAAAATAAATTTTTTAAAGATTTATCTCTCACCCACTTATCCCCCAAAAATCCACACAACTACCATTACCAACTTCCAATTTAAAACCCTTTGCTAACATGAAATCAACCTTTTGGATTCATAACCAATACTCATAATATCCTTCCACACCCGAGCCATATTTAAATAATTAAAAGAAAGAATATTAGCCTCTTTCCTACCCCCATAATATTTCTCCCAAATCACTCTCTTCCATAATCCCTTCGTCCCATCTACTAACCGAAACCACCATTTACCTAGTAATGCCCAATTCTTTCTCTCCAAATCAGCCACTCCTAAACCCCCTTTCTCCTTTTCCATACAAATGTTAGCCCAAGTAACCCAAGTAATTTTCTTCTCCAAATAAGCACCACCCCAAAAAAAATTCCTCTGAATTTTAATCATCTCACCAATAACACATTTAGGAATTTTAAATAAAGGGAAATAAAAAACAAGAAAGGCAGAAAGTACCGAGTTGATTAAGATGATCCGACCTCCAAAGGATAGTAAAGGGCTCTTCTAGGTGGTAAGCTTAACTTGAAAACAATCTAGCATCGATTCCCAAAATCTTTTTCGACCCAAATTCCCTCCAACCGGTAAACCAAGATGGATAAAACGCACCTTACCCACTCCACATCTGAAAATATCAGCAGCACCATTAATCCACCCTTCAAAAACATTAAATCCATACAAATGACTCTTACAAAAATTTATTCGTAAACTAGAAATCAATTTAAACTAGAAATCAATTCAAACCAGTGCAAAATGGCTTTCACAACCCTTAAATTTCCTGCTTCTGCCTTCCCCATAAACACAGTATCATCAATAGATTGTAATAAAGAGAGCATCGTACCACCTCTCCCAATTCCCACTCCTTGCAAAAGCCCCTCACCCTCCACT